GAAACCAAATTACAGTGATTCATGGCCACAGTTTCTTAGTTATGTTACTATCAGTTAATTAATTCTTGCACAGTGCATACCTGGCATAGGCATTGCATAGAAAGACAATGAAGACGTGTCTCATGTCAAGGAGGATAGACTGGGATTTTAAAAATAAGGAGATCTAGTGGAGTTCAGGATCAGTTCCCTTTGGCTTTCAATGAGAACTCTATACTTATTCCCTATCCTTCTATGGAAATCCCAGCTGTACAGTGAAGAAACCAAGCTTATCTCCTTGTACTGAAAGACCATGCTGAACATGCTTGGTAGTGATTTTACCAAACTAAACTATAGAAGACTGGCTTACATCACAGATTAGACAAAATTCTTTAAAATGTTGAATGCAGTTATTGGTATGCACCAAATATTTTGGTTTTGTTATATCATTGCTGCAACACACTAGATCTTTATAAAGTCTTCTCAAGAATTTGTCAATAGTTGCTCAGAACAAGACTTTTATGTGATAGCTATGCCTCTGGTGACTACAAATGCTTCGCCTGAATTCTATGAACACTGCAGTTAAGACTCAGTGGCAACCTTAAATAAGTAGATAACACTTTTTTCAAGGAAGAAGTCTATTATTCCTGAGACAATAGGAACAATGGGCTAGGCTTGCTGAGATGCATCTTGCTAAAGACACATCTCAGGATGAATCTGAAGTACATCAAAAAAGCAGTAGGTCTTAAATAAATGTATTCATTAACTTCTAGCTGACACATTAGAGGCAACCTCATTTTATTTGTTTGAAAGTACCTTCAATTTTAAACCAGTTCTGTTTCAATGATTTTGAACACAAAGGAATATTCTTATGAGTAGCAAGATATTTTGAATAATGGAATATAATTCCATCAGCACTGTGTTCTCTTGTTATTTATTACTGTACTAAATTATCTGCAACTGAAGACAACCCGTTTATAATGAGATATTTGATGATTTATTTTTTGCAAAAAATATTAGCTTTATTATTTATTAATTCTAGCAGTATTCCTCAGTGTATACTCCATAAATATTAACATATCTGATGTCTTGTAAAGATCCAATGAAAGTAATAGCATTGTGCCAGATGTATAGGGAAGATCTGACATCTCATTTTATGTAGATGATCTGCTATAGCTTACAGTATCAGAGAGTTCAATTAAGAACTTGTCAAAAAACAGTGCTAATGTAAGGATATTTGGAGCCTTGCATTTGGACTAAAAATACTGTTCAGCCATGAGCATTATTATGGACATATTATGTGGGAAGAATGCATTTTTGTTTGCCTGTAGATGCTAAATAAATTATGAAATTGCCTTTAAATGCTTGTATTACTGAAAAAATGCCTGCTAAAAATATTCTGAGAACAGTGTGAGCGTGTTGAGATATCCTGTGAAGTCACATAGTAAGTTCTTCTCTTTAAAATGTTTGTGCTGGATATTATTTGTAGTAATATGAAAATAACAGCACTATCTACTTGTACTGTTAAAAAACAAGTCAGATAGCTGTGTGTGAGGCTTTAAGAATACAGCTGTTGCCTGGAACTCAAAAAGATCATCTGGAATTTTAAGTTATCAGAAGATTATTATTCAAGGCTGATTTATCTCAGACTCCCCAAATCCTTTACATTTGTGCTGACAGTCTTTTTGTAGAGTCTGAGTCTGGCATAGAGTTTTTATATCAGCTCATCTGTGCAAACTGGCAGATTACTACCATGGAACTATGTATGGAGCTGAGTATTTGCTTCAGTGCATTGGAAAAGATGGTGGTAATGTTGGAATATCATAAAGTTTGTGCCAGGTGGGTCCCACAAGTGCTCACACAAGAAGAGGAAAAACACCTTATGCAAGTTTGTCAGAACCTGTTGAATATGAAACAGAAGGGGACAGTTTCCTGGGTCACATCATTACTGGTCACATGTCACCACTGTAAGCTGAAGTTAAAACAGTGGTCGATGGAGTAACCACATCTGAATTCCTTGTTGATTAAAAAGTTCAAGACAGAAGTCTCAGAGGTAAAATAATGTGCACTGTCTTTTGGGATAGGAAAGAGGTGAAAATCCTTCTGGATTTCCTGGAACTCAGACAAACCATCAATTCTGACTGCTACTTCATGATGCTGACTAAGCTGAAGGCTCAAAATTCTAGTCAGACCAGAGGATAAGACAACTTTCTCTTTTAATATAATAACACCAGGCCCCGTATCAGTTTGAAGATCACAGACCACATTGCCAGTGTTGGCTGGGCTGTCCTACCACACCTGCCATATGATCTGGGTTTGGTGCCTTCTGTCTTCTTTCTGTTCAGGCCAATGAAAGATGGACTGCATGGGCAACATTTTCCTAGCAATGACACCACTATAGTGGTTGTGAAACAGTGGGCCACCTCTGCTGGTGCAGATTTTTATATGAACAGGACATGCAGGTTCTTGTTCATCACTGGCAAAAAAAACGCATAGCTGATAGTAGTGACTATGTTGAAAAATAATATTTTGTAGTTGAGAAATTGCTCTATCAAACGGTGTTATAGTGCTCTTTGTATCTGTTTTATGTTCCATGGAAATAAATAGGAGGCATTATTTTTTGAGCAACCTATGTATAATATAAGTTTATATTCGCTTTATATCTTTGTGTTTGTTGTTTTGGAACTGCTTGAGGTAGGTAAGCCAGCTAAATGGCCATAGTCCATGTGTGGCAAGGAATGAAGACTTCTGTTTATGTCCTAGTTATGCCTGGTTGACTGCAGGTTTCCTGATAGGTAACTTGATAACAGAAGAACAATAGGAAAAAAAGAGAAATCTCAGATCATCCTCAAGGATCTGGCTATAACTAAAGACCTTGTTGGCGTGTACTCTGGAAGGTGTCACATTTCATTTCTTTACAGAGTTTTCCAGGAAACATAAATACTCCAGTCATATTTTGGTAAGGTACGCTCTTATTGTTTTCCTCTTCATTTAGTAATACAGAGTACTTCCAGATGTGTTTGAAGCCAGCGTAAAATTGGTGAATCCAAGAAGGCTTACTTGAAGACTTTAAAAGTAAACAGAATGTACAAATATATGGCATTACATTTGTGAAGATTTATGCCTGTATGCTTTGTGTTGATTGTGGCTCCTCTTATCATCTCTTCTGTTTTCATTAGAGAACAGGCTGTGACTTTGGCTCCTAGCCACTATCTTTTGGAAGGGCTTTGTAGAGATAGTATGGCCATCACATATATCTTCATGTGGGCAGCACAGAGAGGGACTCAGATGACGTTTGTATCCTGTATTGAAAAATTATGCTGAATTTGCTTGCTACAGCTGATATTAACTCATCAACAAAGCAGAATTTCAACATAATACAACATCAGGATCACGCTATTTCTGTACTGTTACCTAAAGAGCATTACATAAGTTAATTATTACTCATCTTTGACATAATACAGCAGACACATTTAGCAATTCTTTAAAACTCAATTTCAGATAGTTCAGGTCTATTATGTATTTATTAGAACAAAAATGGAAGGAAACAATGTAGCATATAAACATACGGTGTACACAGGAATATATTTATATACTGTCCATATAAATATCTAAATTAGACAGCTGCAAACTATTTATATTTTAAAGCATGGAGCTCAAATTGAGACACAGTGGTCATTGAAAGCAGGCAATGCAACCTGGAAATGCGCTGACTGGAATGGAACAGCTCATTACTGATATGAGACAGAATCTATGCATAAAAATCTAGTAAAGAAACTTCAATGTTTCTTAGGCATTATTGAGATGCCAATCAGTGTTGCATGTGTGTCTGGAATTCTGAATAATTTCCTGTATGTATTTATTCCATATTGTTGATATAAAATATCAGCTGATAAATTCTTTGGCTCTCCAAAAGCATGTGTCTATCTGCTACTGAGCCACTGTCAGTCCTTTGACAAGGGTTTTATGTCAAATAACTGCCAGTTGACTGAGTTCCAGATGGTCACCTGCTTTCTTGGGAGAAAAAACATTCTTGTGGACTTGTTCTGGAGACAGCAGATTATAAAATCTTTTTTCTGCTGGGCGGTGATTTCCTCAAGACCTGTGCATAGTGTTCAGACTGTTGTGTTAACCCTACTCATGGAGTTTGACTGTTTTTGGTGAAGTGAAATTAAAAATTAAGAACTACTTCTATCAGGATGCTGCTCCCAATCGCCATTTTTATTTGCCTTTACATCTTCACTTCAGAGCAGCCTACTCCAGCCTGGTGCAATGCTGCTTAGTCCTGTAAACTATTTGTCTATATTTTGTAATATTTTTCTGTAAATTCTATGTCCAGTGCACAACATTTACCTCAGGAAAAATAACCCAAGGACAAAAGTGTTTTGTGTATGCTTGACATGAAACATAGTAGGAAATCGGGGCAAAGATGAATTATATTAGAGGGAGTTATATACTTTTCCCCAGATCAAAATGAAGAGGGGATTGGTTTAATCTGTTTTAAAAATAAGAAATCTGTACGATTGAACGATGTACAATATGAAACCAGAAGTATACTGTATTATGATAGTGTAGAGACTAGAAGAATTCTGCTATACCTATCTTTTTTAGTTGCACATATGCATATATATATTTTGTATACCTTATGAAAGATTTTTTAAAAAAATATTGTTTTAGCAAGTCTCTGTATTTTTTACCTTGATTCTTGCATTCCATGCTGTTAGGACAATATCTAATCTGAGAAGTATGGTGATGAACCTGAGAATCGAGATTTTGTACAGGTACTCTTTGCCTGTACTCTGTCCAACCTGAAGGTTAAACTTGATGTGTTGTTTTAAGAGTGTCAAACTGGGGATCTTGTACCAACAATATTAATATATGAAATGCATGAGTTATTATAGCATGCATTTTAATTGCTCTTCAAATAGGATTACAGCCCTACAATTCATAACAGTATCGGTAAAATTTATTTTATTTTATATTATAAAGCTTTTTGTTTGTTTGTTTGTTTGTTTTTTATTTAGGCAAGTGAGAGACCATTATGATTACTTGGACATCAGAGAGGAAATGTAAGTATAATATTAATATCCAGTAGATATTTGTTAACTGATATTGTTGAGCACAAAATAAGCTTGATTAATATGCATCTATTTAGTCTTCCTAAGAATTATGTACCAAAAGATAAAACATCCATATTTGGTACAAAGAATGAGGCTGTAGCTGTATCAATATCACTTTAATTACATTTTTAATCTTTTCTCTTGAGTATCTCAACTTTCTTTGGTGTCTGGGATTAAACTTTTTAAAAGGAAATAATTAATATCCACATTTGAGTTTGTGAAAACTTCCACCTGAATTTGTGTACATAATAGAAGGAATAGTCTGAAAAAAGAATGTCAGTTCTTTTCATATTTAAAGAGTTGAATAGGATGCAAAAAATAGTCATATACTGAGTTTATTTTGTGATCACTTAATACACAAATTAGAACAGTGTTATTGGGGTCTATTTGGCAGCAATTTGTAACATTACGCAAGGCAGATAAATATGGGTTGAGATAAAGCTAGCCAAAAAAATACCAGTCATGGATGCAGATGTCCCTGCTGAAGTTTTTGCACCTGGGCCATTTGGTATCCAAACTGACCTCATGACTGGCCACAATGGCTGACTTCTCTTCCTGAGCCAAAAGAAGAAAAGGCTTAAGTGGGTCCATATGGCACGCAACAATCGACAGCAAAGATGCATTGCCAACTTGGTATTGCAACTACAGTTTGTATTTCAATGTGCTGTGGAATTGGTTCACTATTCACAGAAGAGCAAGTACTGCCAGTAGCTTAATCTATGAATTTATCTAATTATGTCCTAAAAGCACTGGAGAACTGCAGTATGATTTCAGATGATGTGTGATGAAGCCAAAGTCAATTTAACCTGAACTGTGCACATTCCTATTTGTATCTAGAATCAAGAAGTTGAGCTTCTCTTATCTATAGTGACAGAAAATGTTGTATTTTACTGTATTCTAGGAGCAGTTGACTTTTAGGATTTAGAAGATGATAAAATTTACAAATATAATATCAAACATGATTATCTGTGACCTTGAAAGGCTTCTTGTTGTTCTTTTCCACTCTGGACTTCATAATAGAATTTATTTCAAAAACAATGATGCACATCTGAAATGAGTAAAAGACTTTTGATATAATTGCTGTGAAGCTAGAAAATCAAATGATATTACTGTAAAATCCTTGCAACAGCCTAGGCAATAACTTGACTATGTTTGAACGCTACAGCTCTGTTTGTTTAGTAGCTGTTCATTATGTAGTTTTATTGGTTATTTTTCCCTTTTATCCCTTGTTGATAGAGGTACTTAACTATTTATGAGTCTCTCCAACGGTGAAGTTTCTATTTCCTGGCTGGAATCCCAAGTGAGAGGAATGTAATGGTACGGGGTAGCGACATCTGCGTGTATTTATTCCATTGTGATATCTAGAAAAAGATTTATATATATGAGTCATTCTTTCTACCTGAAAGCAGGGTAAACATAGTTTGGATAAGTACATTGCCTTGTGACTGTGGTGTTCTTGTTGACTAATGGTAGATATGAATCAAACACATATTTGCATTTGATAACCCATACGGACACCTGTCCCTAAGACTATACTTAAACCAGCTGTGCTCAGGGTTAAGGGAATTTCTTTAAATGGTGCCTTTCTGGAGATACTGATTCTGCTTAGATGTGCTGTGATAGTATTTGAAGTACCAGTGGAAAATATAAGGCTGTATCCCATTGCCAAAAATACTCAGCAGATATAGTTTTCCATCAGCTTACTGGAATAAAAATTTTCTAATTACTTTTGATAGCTAAGTAGTATTTATTCTGAAATTTTCTAACATAGAAAAGCATTCCCACCTGCCCTATTTCCAGAAGATATCACTACCGGTTTATTTTTATGAAATTTCACTTTTTTTTACCTGTATGTTACTGGCATAAGCTCACATTTAAAATTTTCAAGTTGTCCTAGAGATATTTTTGCATTAAACCCTTTCATCTTTACATAGAAAAGAATCGCTTCCAAAAATCTACGCTTCTGGTCTGTAAGTGCATAAACCTGCATAAAAAACTTTTACTGAGCTGCTGTTAAAAACAGATTTTAAATAATTTCATATACAAATCCTATGCGGTCATGCTGATTACATGTTTATCTGGAATGGAAAATTTGGACTCGCTGTTTTTTTTATAACAAATTTAATTGCCCTCATGCTGCCATCAAATTTTCTCTGAAATTCTTCTGTACCTATAGTTCTCTCTGAAGTACTCTGTGAAGTCTAAAAAATAAAAAATCTCATAGCCTTCAAGTTAAGGTATATAGAAGCAACTGCTGTAAAAAACAGCAGTCAATCCAAACATATGGAAATGTTTGTAATAAAGAACCAAGTCATTAGACATCACTATGTGTGCCTCAGTAGAATCTATACCTATCTTAATATTAATTAAACCAAGCTATTCTCCTTGGAAAATCAAACACAATTTTGAAAGAAACTGTTTTAATCTGGGAAGAATCTTTTCTGATTATATACAACTCACTGTAACATCCACTTTAGGAATCGACATGGAAAATCATTAAACAATTAAAATTTGTAGGAACAAGACTTGGCCTTGAAAGAAGCTTTCCCGTAAGATCGTCATGTATGTTTTAATCATGCCCAATCTTGATCAAGTCATAATGAGAAATAAATTCCCTGCAGTGTAAAATTCACCAACTGAATTGTGCTAAAACCAGAGCTAGGGAAAATAACACAGATGGTTGACATGTCTCACAATGACCACAGTAAGTGCACTCTGCCAGCAGGAGAAATCCATGTATACTCCTGGAATATTATGTACTTTTTGTGCTAAATTCCCTGATGATATTTGACTATCACTGCACACCACACACTTGAGATAATGCAGATAATCATTTATAGATAAAAGCAAGGAATATCTACTTTAAAGGTAATGTTCCTCACCCACTAGTCACTCCTCAGATCTTTAAGTTTTCTAAAGACGATACTAAACTTGGAAGTTCTTAACTTGAGCTGATAACTGCACTCAAATTCTCTTTTAGTAACTAATCTTGTCTTCATTTGCAGACAGCAAGCTTGTCCACAAAGTACTCTTCATCCTCCTTAAAAGTAAATGACTCTTACCCAAATAATGCTTTCTGTGCCGTGAGCATCTTCCACTTTTATTCTCTGTGATTTTAATATCTTAAAAACATTTAGCAATTCTATAAAACTAAAGCACTTTCTTTCCTATGGCCTCTAGCACTGTGGAAAGTTTGACTGTCCTCAATGGCAGCTCTGGAAAGTGTTGATGTTGCTGTACCTTATCCAGAGTCCTCTTTTGTCTGACATAAAGGATGCAATTTCTGGAAGCAGATTTAGGCTGCAGGAAGCGAGATAATGCATGAAATTGAATGCTTTGTACACAGGGGTAAATAGAGGTATCTCTTGAAGAGAATCTGTTCCATTCAGCAATGTACAACCAGCACAGAAGGAGCTCTGTTGGCTCAGGGCTGAAGGAGAACTGATGAACAAAATTTGGGCTACAGGAATTTGACTATGTTTGATATCACTGAGAAGTGTGTGTGCTGGTCTCCTCTGAGAAACAAATGTAAGGAAGTTCTTTGACTTTGATAGCAGTCTGTCTTAGCTTTTGCTTCCCAGCAACCCACACCTCTTGTAAAGGGAATCACAGTGCAGCTGGAAAGGGTAATTGTAATGAACAGTGCAGGATTCATAATGGAATTTCACAGAAATATGTTAGTAATCTGAGAACCAGCCCTAGTTTGAATAGATATAAGAATGTTTTGTGGGGTTATGTTCATTGCTTTATCAGCTTGCAGGGAAAAGTTCTCCATTTTCTTTTGTGTGTGATTTCAGTACCGTGTGATGTGGGCAATGTTTCTTTTGTCTAACATGTAAAAGCATGGGCTGATGGAAAGAGAGTTTGTCCATTTGCAAAAACTGTAGGGAGGGTCTAAGTGCTTTCTTCTTTTAAGTGGTGGTTGAGGGTGCTTTCTTTATTCATCTAGCACTGTTAGCCAACAATTGTAATCATGAGTAAGTACAGCATGGCTCTTTTATGGTCATCCTTGGAGGGAGTTCAGTGTCCCAAGAAACTGTTTTCTTGAATTGTGTGTTAAGATACTTGCTGCATATTTCAGCCTGAGACTGCTTCAGATGCTAAGCAGCTCTTCAAAGACTGTGAAAAATACAGTGGTAGAAGAAACAATTAAATGTGCTAATAGTTATTAATTTAAAGGCACTCATGCCAAAGTCAATGTATGCTTATTTACTGTTCAAATGTTTCGGTAGCTTTATGTACCTTGCACTGTTTGTGGACTGTGGTTAGGCAAAGAACAGCTATAAAATAGTTTGATAAAATATTTCTTTAGCATGAATTTAAAAGAAAAAACAGTCTCACAGAATATTCTGCAAAGTGACTGGAGTCTCAGTCCAAGTATTTCTACCAGCAGTTCATGAGCGTTGTCCATTGTCACTGTGGTAGTACCATCCTGACCTTTCCTCAGACCATCTGGTATGCTTTTTGGATGGATGTTGCTGCTAACAATGCCCTGGTTCAAGCTGATCCTGGAGTGCAATTTAGGCATTGTTCACCAATGATTAATCAAGAAGAGGTTACATAATGAAGCCAGCATTAAAATGTATGGGCATGTGGCAAATCAGATTGAATGGCAATATCTCAGAATATATAGCATCATATTGTTGGGTTTCTTTTGTGGTTTTCACTCTCCTGGGGACCTGAGTATAGACTGTGACATGCTGAAAGCTCTGTTTATTTTACATTTTAAATGATTAGTGGAAGATTAAACTTTCATGCTAACTGAAAAATATAATGAAAATGCTAAATTCTGGGCTCCCTATCTAAATATTATTAGCTTTTACATGATGTATTTGGTTCTTTTGTTCTTGCTGACTCACAGTCCGTAGCCTTTCTTGTGTTAATGCATTTTAATCCCCTGTATAGAGTCTCTCAACAAAAAGACATTTTGATATAGTAGTGGAAAGGAG